CCCCCCCCCCCCCCCCCCACAGAAATCCCTTCGCAACTCCATTAGAGATCATCTTCCATGAGTTGGAAACTTGTGCTCTAATAGTAACTTGAATATCCCAACATGTTCTTGTGTCAACTATATTGTGTAGTGTTCTTTTTTATTAAATTAAATTTCCAAAATCAACATTAAGACATTTAAATATGCAGATAAATGTACCGGGTATTAACATTCTTAATTTTTTTTTTTTATTCCCAACGAAAACATTTTATAAGTTGTTCTTAACATTTGCTTGTACATATTTAGTGGCTGATCCGAAACTAAATTTAACGACCTGTAAAGAATGCTAGCTCATGGTGTTGTAATACATATTTAAATTAAATTAATTGTATCCTTGGATGAGGAGAACTTTTTTCCCGGAATAAGCAAAACCTTGGTGAATGAGAAACCCGAGTGTCCATTCTCTTGCCTTGGCAAAAGCACCTCTTACTAAGAGTAGAGAATATGCCGCACATTTCCGAACCTCTGTTCGTTCACTTGACTTGGCAAAGGCACCTCTTAATAAGAGTAGAGAATATGCCGCACATTTCCGAACCTCTGTTCGTTCACTTGACTTGGCAAAGGCACCTCTTACTAAGAGTAGAGAATATGCCGCACATTTCCGAACCTCTGTTCGTTCACTTGACTTGGCGAAGGCACCTCTTAATAAGAGTAGAGAACATGCCGCACATTTTAGAACCTCTGTGTCATGGCACTTTGTCCGGCAATCAAATTCACCAAACAATCCCCATACATAAAAGAAGACGCTTTTTAGTTATATCTCGTGGTTGGTCTATATGATCTATTCTTCCCTATCACAGAGGAGCGAACCCATGTCTGTTAGAACATGCTCAGTCAATTTTTTCCTTTCTGATAAAAATTATGTTAAAGTTGTCTTACACCCTTCAGTTTTATTTGCGCATGGCCACACCTGCTGCTGCGTGGGGGGAATCCTGATGTTCACCTTCTCATCGATGAGGATTGACGTAGACATGATAGACACATCAGGGCTGGGGGGAGGGGGTCTCCCTTCCCGGGCACCATCTCCATCCAGAGGGCGCACAAATCTTAATTTTATTGCTAAATATAATGCTGATTAATAAATAATGTTTTGGGATGAGGGCGCCTAAATTCAGGCTTTTCCCCGGGCGCACCTTTCCTTGCCATGTATGTGACGTTTTCAACAAGTGCCAGGCTGCATCCCTTAATGGCTAGGTTTGTAGAGGAATATGCTTCTTTGAGTCCGTTCAAGGCGTTTGAGAGACAAACCACTTGTTGCTGCATTGCCCATGTGCAACATAACGTTTTCATTTTAACAAACAAAAAAGCCTTATCAGTTGGCGCATGTACACGTATCAAATGCACTAGCAGTGACACAGCGAATTCCTCGAAATCTATTTAATAATACTAGCAGTATATTTTCAATTGTAAAGATACAGAGGCTCGTGAAATATTGAGGGCTCCTAGCTGAAGGCAGTGTAGCCTAGCCATCCGCCCCACCAGAACCAAATTCAGGGACTCCAGAAGGTACAAAACACTGCAGCACGCATTGTATCGCGGATAAAGAAATCTGACCACATCACACCAGTTCTACAAGATCTCCATTGGGTTCCTGTGAGTGAGCGCATTAATTACAAAATTCTGGCGCACAGCTGCAGAGATGGCTCAGCACCGGAATATCTCAAGGAACTGATTTACAATTTACAAACATGTATCCGTGAAGAGCCTGCGGTCTTCAACACAGTACTTACTGAAAGTTCCCAGTGTGGAGGAACACAGAAAAAATTCGTACGGAGTGCGCTCTTTTGAAGCGATAGAGCCAAAATTATGGAACAGTTTGCCTCAATCTGTGAAGGGAATTGAAAATTATAAAAAATCATTTAAGAAACATTTTAAAACTTTTTTTGTTTAAATAGATTTAAGAAAACCATAGCGCATTTAGCATGCTAAAGTAGCATGGATACCAGCGCTATATAAAAATCAAATCTCTCCACTCCACTTAATCAATCCACTATTAAGAACAAATTTAGAAAATTCGCTTTCAACTCACAGAAGCGCACCAACATGAACGTGGAAACCTCAAGCATTAATTGCATACTACGTCATCGAAATGTGCTTATTATCCTTAGGCCATAAGAAGAAAAGATTTGCATTAATGGGCTGA